GAGAACTCTGGACAGGCGTTTCTCAGAAGGACCAATCAGAGCCCTGTTCTCCTTGCTATCATGTTTAGCATCAGAGACCTGAAGGAGCTCAGCCATTCAGCCTCGTAGCGCCTCTTTACTCACCTCACTGGTGTAGCTTTCTGAAGGACGGGTGTGGACATGTGAGGGGACAGTCCACACCAATAATTTCCACTTTCCCCCCCTTTTCTGCTGATTTCCTTCAGCCAACAGTAACTGGGCTTTTAGTGCAGCTAGCTGTGTTCAGAGCGTTTTCACTCCGTGTTTTCTCCTCTCTCTCCAGTCCCTCCTCTCAGTGAAACATCATGGGATCCGTCTCTGTGGGACATAATATTATTTTGGGTGGTTATTCACTGCCTACAGAGGAGAGACACAGCAGCACTCAGTGAATATGAACCAGCAGCTGCTTAGATGTTTCAGTCAAAGTTAGGAGACTGGTTGGTTAAAGAATTAGAGATGCCACCGTTTGTTACATACGGAGCTTTTTCAGCTAAAAATGGCAGCAGATTGAACATTTATAGAAGTTAAAAAGCAGGGCTCCTCAGAGTTCCAGATGAAAATGAACACAGATCTGTTGTTTTCAGATTGAACAGAGAATCAGACTCCAGAGCTTCTAGAGATCCTGAAAATGATTTTCTCTGGCATCATTATATTGGTAGACTGGTTCATCAATCTGATTTAAACAGATTGATGAACCTGTCTCCTTGGTCTGTTTCTGTCAGTGCTGCTGATGATGATGATGATGATGATGATGATGATGATGATGATGATGTTAGCAGCCTTCGCTCTGAAGCGGCTCAGGCTGCTAACAGCCTCGGCTGTCGTCATGACGATGCTCTCTGGTTGTTTGCAGCGGCGTCCGGCGGAGGAAAGGTCCCTTCAAGCACATCAAGTTCGGCACCAACATCGACCTCTCTGATGAGAAGAAGTGAGGAAGCATTGGTGGCAGCTAGCTAGCTAGCTGTTTGGGCCGCGCTAACGTGGCTAACGTTCTTCCAGGTGGAAGCAGCAGCTGCAGGAGCTGACCAAGCTGCCGGCCTTCGCCAGGGTGGTGTCTGCTGGGAACCTGCTGAGCCACGTGGGCCACACCATCCTGGGCATGAACACCGTCCAGCTGTACATGAAGGTCCCGGGGAGCCGCACGCCAGGTGAAGCCCCCGCCGCCGAGCCCGGGTTCTCTGGCTCTGCTGCGCCGCTGCTGATCGGCTGCTCTCTGTGCTTCTGACAGGACACCAGGAAAACAACAACTTCTGCTCGGTGAACATCAACATCGGCCCCGGGGACTGCGAGTGGTTCGCCGTGCCGGAGGCCTACTGGGGCGTCATCAACCACTTCTGTGAAAAGTAAGAGGGTGGTCTGAAAGGTTCCGGCCCCCAGCTGGCTGCTAGTGAAGGCTTCTGCTGTTCCTGACAGGAACAACATCAACTTCCTGATGGGCTCCTGGTGGCCCGACCTGGAGGACCTGTACCGCAGCAACATCCCCGTTTACCGCTTCATCCAGCGGCCCGGGGACCTGGTGTGGCTCAACACGGGGACCGTCCACTGGGTGCAGGCCGTCGGCTGGTGCAACAACATCGCCTGGAACGTGGGACCCCTTACAGGTGGGCGGGGGGGGCTGAAACAGGCTGATTAATCCATTACTGAAACATTCCTCAGCTAATCGTAGATTAATGGTTCCCTATAGAGACTCTGATCCGTTCCTTTAGCCCACAGAGCGACACGCTTAGAGCAGGAAGTACATCCAGATTATAAACAAAGCTAACAAGTTGCTAATTGCTAATGACTTTAATCTGCATGTTTACAGTTTAATATTATTGCCAGGAAACATCATGGCTGCATCATTAACGGTTTCTCTGTTTCAGGTAGAGAAGCATAAATCAGCTGATTCTTCCTGAAAAGAAGATTTTTGTCCAAGAAAAAAACAAAATCTTTATCTGTTAATCGATCTATAATCCAGAACTCCTCAAGTGGAAAAGTTTTATTTCCAGCTGCTTTAATTTAGTTTAAAAAGTTTGATGTGGTTTAAAAGGTTTTTAAGGAACCTTCTTCTGTTAGATTATTTTATTATTTATCAATTATCATTAAAATAATCAACAGATGAATCAATTTGCTAAATAATCGTAGTTTCAGCTCTAGTCTCACCTCCTCCCCCACTTCTGGCACTGAGTCAATATTCCCTGGACTAAAGCATGATGCAGCCTCCACCGTGCTTCACTCTGGGTTCCAGCAGCTGACCTTCCTGCCAATGCTGGGATGGTTTCCTGTCCTCCTGCTGGTTCTGGAGGACCTGCAGGTCTGTGATGGAGGACAGCTGCGGCTCCATCTCTGGGATTCTGACATCATTTCAATCATATTTCAGGCGTCGGATGCAGGAGTTTGCTCTGATAGCAGAGGGTTGTTGGTTCAAGCCCCGGCTCCGCTCCAGCTTTCAGTATCGTTTTGTCCTTTGGCAAGGCACATTCCTACTGATGGTGGCGCCAGCATGCGGCGGCCCCCAGGGCGGCGGCGGCCCCCAGGGCGGCGGCGGCGGCCCACAGAGCAGCTTCCCACTATCAGTGAACAGGGAGCAGAAATATCTTTTTATTTCCAAACTGGATTCTTTTAGTTTCTCTTCACTTCTTTGCTGTAGAAACGTTTCTGTTCAAAGCGTTTGTTTCAGGCTGGAAGAGACGATGAAATATGAACAAAAATAAAAATATTTAAACACTAAAATCCTTTTATGAGGCAGTTTTTCAAAGTTAAACGTCTGACGACATTTTTCCAAATTCCCAGAACTTCTTTAACTTTCTCCAGTGATCGTTTCCTGCATAGATTCCTGCGTGCAGCGACGGATGGAAAACCATCTGATGATTTTATGGGCTGGTTTTAAAGGCGCCCCCCCCCCCTCGTAACGCTGCTCTCTGTCTGTCTATTTGCAGCCCATCAGTACCGGCTGGCCGTGGAGCGCTATGAGTGGAACAAGCTGCAGAGCATCAAGTCCATCGTCCCCATGGTCCACCTCTCCTGGAACATGGCCAGGAACATCAAAGTGTCGGACCCCAGGCTGTTTGAGATGATCAAGTGAGGCGGCGCCGCCGGGTGAACGCAGCTGTGGCGCTCTGCGGGGCGGGATCAGGACTCACGGCTGTGTCTCTGTTAGGTACTGCCTGCTGCGGACCCTGAAGCAGGTCCAGAGTCAGAGGGAGATGCTGCTGGCTGCGGGGAAGGAGCCGCTGTGGCACGGTCGCACCCAGAGCGAGCCGGCCCATTACTGCAGCGTCTGCGAGGTGAGCCCGGCCCAGTTCTGTCTGTGGATCCAGGAGGGGGGCGGAGCTTGACCCAGTGTGTTCTGCACAGGTGGAGGTGTTTGACCTGCTGTTCGTGACCAGCGAGAGCAACAGCAGGAAGTCGTACGTGGTCCACTGTCAGGACTGCGCCAGGAGGGCCAGCGCCGACCTGCAGAACTTCGTGGTTCTGGAGCAGTACAGGATGGAGGACCTGATGCAGGTCTATGACCAGTTCACCCTGGTAAGACCTGGAGAAGGAGGCCGACCAGAGTTCCCCCCACATCCTCCGCTACCGTACGGCGTGCAGAGCGCTCGTCTGACCTGTCAATCAAGGAGGGCTGTTCCAATCAGTGCATTCCTGAATTCTCCTGACTGCCCGACTTCACAGGAGTGAATAAAGTGAATGTGATTGGTCGGTTATCAAGGGGGCGGGATTGTTGTGGCCCAAGGCTAACCAGTTAGCAACTTAGTGCTAGCAGGTTCCCAATGGGAAATTCCATTGGGACCA